CAGACACAGAGGTTCATCCTCCTGTCTGCAAAAATGAACCTCCAGGCTTGGGCACGGGGAAGGGAGAACGGTGATGGGACAGCAAGTGAGAACCCGGAGGGGATGGGACAGCACCGGTTAGGGAGAGCGCCGCTGCTTTGGACGTGAACTAATGAGAGGATCCGGAAAATGCCATCAAATGACTAGTGTGGAAATGAAATGAAAGCCATGGTAACGTGATCACCTCAATCTAATCTAAACCCTTCCACCCTGATACCCATCCCACAGTCTCCCAATTTTACATTCTACTGCTTAAACCGTCATCACTAATGAGTCACACAAAATCTCAGGGAACAGTTTTTGAATTTTTTAAAATAAGTTTATTTATTTAATTTATTTTTTTGGCTGCTTTGGGTCTTCGTTGCTGTGCACAGGCTTTCTCTGGTTGCGGCGAGCGGGGGCTACTCTTCATTGCGGTGCGCAGGCTTCTCATTGCAGTGGCTTCTCTTATTGCGGAGCACAGGCTCTAGGGGCGCGGGCTTCAGTAGTTGTGGCACACGGGCTCAGTAGTTGTGGTGCACAGGCTTAGTTGCTCTGCGGCATGTGGGATCTTCCCGGACCAGGGCTCGAACCCGTGTCCCCTGCATCGGCAGGCGGATTCTTAACCACTGCGCCACCAGCGAAGCCCTGGATTATTTTTTTTTTTTTTTTTTTTTTTTGGCCGAGCCACGCAGCATGCAGGATCTTAGTTCCCCGACCAGGGATCGAACCCGTTCCCCCTGAAGTGGAAGCACAGAGTCCTAACCACTGGACCGCCGGTGAAGTCCCCTGAATATTTTTAAAAAGAAATGTATCTCAGTTCATATATATTGTGAAGTAACAAAAATAGTAATATTATATAGTAACTTGCAACTATCCCTTTTTTTTGTAACTAACATAGTCAGCCATGAAGGTTCTATTCTAATTGTCAGGGAACAGTTTTGAGGCTTGTTTACCAACCTTCTAAGCAAGCATCTTCACACTAATGCAGAAAACACTCTTTTGAAGAAATGACTGTGGTCTAGGGAGTTCGATTTTAGGGACGATTCCTAAGTAGTTTGATTAATTCTCTTAATCAAAATGGGAGATTTTACTCCAAAGATCAAGGAGGGGATATATGTATACGTAAAGCTGATTCACTTTGCAGTACAGCAGAAGCTAACGCACCATTGTAAAGCAGCTATACTCCAATAAAAATTAAAAAAAAAAATTAAAACTAGTCCATTTGTTTTAGGATTAATCGTGATGGCAATGTTCTATTAACTTCAACCCTAATTCCAATTCTTATCATCAACAGACAGAATACTCGAGATCTAAACTAGAATGATAATATGGCAAAATTTGGTTCATATTAGTTTAAAAATAACACTTTCAAGATACAATTATCTCTTGTGTGTGTGTTAATCTCTTTAAGACTGGAGGGGGAAAAAAAATCTCACTAATGCCGGAATTAAATCACAACCTGATTGGATGAATGAAGAGAGGCAGGACGGGAGTGAGATGGGAGGGGCCGCCTCTAAGAAAAAGCCCCTTTCGGTGGATCTCACTCCAGAACTGAGCAGTCAGGGGAAGCAGCTGGACCTCGTTGAGCAGAGGTGAGCCTGTCTTAGGGGATTTTGTTTTCACTTCTCAATTTTCTACAAAAGGCAAATATAGGAAAGCAAGGTGAGCTTCCCTGGTGGCGCAGTGGTTGGGAGTCCGCCTGCCGATGCAGGGGACGCGGGTTCGTGCCCCGGCCCGGGAGGATCCCGCATACCGCGGAGCGGCTGGGCCCGTGGGCCCGTGGGCCGTGGCCGCTGGGCCTGCGCGTCCGGAGCCTGTGCTCCGCAACGGGAGGGGCCACAGCAGTGAGAGGCCCAAGTACCACACACACACACAAAAAAGCAAGGTATCAGGAATGGAGTGATTTATTAATTCAGCAAGTGTTATCTGAGGCCAACTCAACCCAAGCACAGCATGTGCACCTGGAGGCACAAGGACCTCTGATGGGAGGATAGGCAGAACTTAGATGTTCAATACTCGGGTTGGAGAAATAATAACATCTTCATTATCCTGAGTCTAATCAGGGCTTGGCAGACTCTGTGAGAGATGAATGAAGTTTCAGCCACAGACTTATTCCACCTCTCAAGTTCTGCTGTGAGTTTTTGCCACATGCAGGTTGGACAGGTGGGTAGTTGGAGGGTGTGTGGGTCTAGACCAGCGCTGTCCAGGAGAAATACAAGGTGACCCACAGATGTGATTATAATTCATTTCCTAGTATCCACATAAACAAAGGAGAATCAAACTAATCAATTTTAAAAGGCAAAATGTAATCATTGCAACATCAGCTTTCTTATTTTAAAAGACAAACTAATCTTTATTTACTTGCATTGACACTAACATCCTCATTACAATTATTTTTTAGTGAAGAATAGTTGATTTTCAATATTGTGTTACTTTGAGGTACAGCATAGTGATTCAGTATTTTTGCAGCTTATTCTCCATTATAGGTTATTACAAGATAATGGGTGTATATCCCTGTATACAATATATCCTTGTTGTTTTATAAGTTTTACGTATAGTAATTTCTATCTGTTAATCGCATAGCACTGCCCTCCACCCTGCCCTCTCCCCTTTGGTTACCACACAATTGTTTTCTATATCTGCAAGCCTGTTTCTATTTTGCATAAACATTCATTTGTATTATTTTTTACATTCCACATATAAGTGCTATACAGTATATGTCTTTCTCTGACGTATTTCACTATGCATAATAATCTCTAGGTCCATTGACATTAATGCAAATGGAAGTATTTTACTTTTTTTTATGGTTGAGTGGATTCCATTATATTAGATATATTCACATCTTCTTAATCCAATCATCTGTTGATGGGCACTTAGGTTGCACCCATGTCTTGGCTATTTTAAATAATGCTGCTATTAACATTGGTGTGCATGTATCTTTTCAAATTAGAGTTTTCATTTTTTCTGGATATATGCCCAGGAGGGGGGTCGCTGCATCATATGGTAGCTCTATTTTTAGTTTTTTAAGGAACCTCCATACTGTTCTCCACAGTGGCTGCACCAATTTACATTCCCACTAACAGTGTACAAGTATTGTCTTTTCTCCACATCCTCTCCAACATTTGTTATTTGTAGACTTTTTGGTTATGGCCATTCTGACTGGTGTTAAGGTGATATCTTGTTGCAGTTTTGATTTTCATTTCTCTGATTAGCAATGTTGAGCATCTTTTCATGTTCTGGATGGCCATCTGTATGTCTTCTTTGGAAAGTATCTATTCAGATCATCTGCCCATTTTTGATTGGGTTTTTTTGGTTTTTGATATTGAGTTATGTAACTTGTATATTTTAGATATTAACCCCTTGTCAGTTGCATCAGTTACAAACAGTTTCTCCCATTCCTTATGTTGTCTTTTCATTTTGTTGATGGTTTCCTTTGCTGTACAAAAGCTTTTAAGTTTAATTAGGTCCCATTTCTTTATTTTTGCTTTTATTTCTTTTGCCTTGGGAAACTGATCCAAGAAAATGTTGCTACAATTTATGTCAAAGAATGTTCTGCCTGTGTTCTATTCTAGGAGCTTTATGGTTTCAGGTCTTATATTCAAGTCTTTAAAGCATTTTGAATTTATTTTTGTGTATGGTGTGAGGGAATGTTCTAATCTCATTGTTTTACATGCAGCTGTCTGGTTTTCCCAGCACCACTTGTTGAAGAGACTGTCTTTTCTCTATTGTATATTCCTTCCTCCTTTGTAGTAGATTAACTGGCCAGGGGTGTGTAGGTCTTTTTCTGGGCTCTCTATTTTGCTCCATTGATCTCTGTATCTGTTTTTGTGCCAGTACCATGGTGTTTTTATTACTGTAGCTTTGTAGTATAGTCTGAAGTCTGGGAGGGTTATGTCCCCAGCGTTATCTTTTTTCTCAAGATTGCTTTTGCAATTTCAGGTCTTTTATGGTTCCATAAAATTTTAGAATTATATGTTCTAGTTCTGTGAAAAGTATCAAGGGTATTTTGTAAAGATTTCATTAAATCTGTAGGTCGCATTTAGTAATATGGCCATTTTAATAATATTAATTCTTGCAGTCCAAGAGCTTTGGATATCTTGCCATTCCTTTGAATCACCTTCAATTTCCTTCATCAGTGTTTTATAGTTTTCAGAATATAGGTCTGTCACCTCTTTGGTTAAGATCATTCCCAGGTGTTTTGTTTTGCTGTTAATAATTCTTTTTTTCTTTCTTTTTTTAAAATTGAAGTATAGTTGATTTACAGTGTTGTGTTAGTTTCAGGTGTGCAGCAAAGTGATGCAGTTATATGTGGGACGCCGCCAGGAAGGAGCTGGATTCTTGGTCCAGAAGAAGGCAAAATCACATTTTTGCATATTGCTTGCACTACCCAGGAGTGCCGCGTAAGGCGCCACGCGTGCATCCCGTGGTTTGTAGGCACAGCAATGAAGTGTCACATGTACTGACACACACCAATCCAGGGCTGTTGTGTGGACCTACTGGCCAGTATAAAGCCTGCCATATTCTGCTGCGTAGGGTCTTCCTTCCATCTTTCTTCAACCAAGCTGTGCTCCAATAAAGTGTGATACGAGAAGAATCTTGCGTGTGGCGGCTCGTTATTCTGCTGGTCGGAAGTGGCTCGCCGCAGTTATACATACGTATATATCTATTTTTTTCAGATTCTTTTCCCTTATAGGTTATTACAGAATATTGAGTATAGTTCCCTGTGCTACGCAGTAGGTCCTTGTTGGTTATCTATTTTATATATAGTAGTGCGTATATGTTAATCCCAAATTCCTATTTTATCCCTCCCCCCCTTTCCCCTTTGATAACCATAAGTTTGTTTTCTATGTCTGTGGGTCTATTTCTATTTTGTATATAAGTTCATTAATACTATTTTCCTCCAGGTATTTTTTTGATGGATTTTAAATGGGATTGGTTTTTTACTTCCTCTTCCTGATAGTTCATTATTAGTGTATAAACACACAACAGATTCCTGTATATTAATCTTGTATCCTACAACTTTGCTGAATTCATATTAGTTTTGACGTAGAGACTTTGTTTCTTTATACAGAGTATCATGTCATCTGCAAATCGTGACAGTTTAACTACATTCCTGCCAATTTGAATGCCTTTTATTTCTTTTTCCTGTCTAATTGCTATGGCTATGACTACCAATACTATGATAAATAGAGTGGTAAGAGCGGGCATCCTTGTCTTGTTCCTGAATTTAGAGGAAAGGCTTTCAGCTTTTCACCACTGAGTATTATGTTGGTTGTAGATTGGTTGTAAATGAGCTTTATTATGTGAGTTATGTTCCCTCTATAGCCTGTTGATGAGGGTTTTTATCAGGAACGGATGTTGAATCTTGTGAAATGCTTTTTCTGCATCTATTGAGATGATCATGTGATTTTTATCTTCCTTATAATCAACTTTTGAAAGTTCTCAAGGAGATCGTTTATGTTGTCTTTTTCTAATCATGTCTTCCAAACTGAGTGTGCATCTGACACTTATAACACCTTTCAATATGGATGAGCCCCACCTCAGTAGCCATACATGGCTGGTGGACACCATATCTGACAGCTCAGGTGTAGTATAAACCCTCTCACCACCTAAATTATACCCCAAGGATGAATCATGTCCTTCATTCCAAACAGCCTTTCAAAAATCAGAAAGGCTGATTTGGGGCTATGAGTCATTTATATTTTTACTTATGTCTTCATTACATAGTAATAATGATTTCAAATCGCTATGCATGTAAAGATAAAAGTGACCCAGGGAATAGTATCGATTCAACTCATGGAAATTCCAATCTCATGTGCATTTTTCCCATAGAGGACCCATGGCTGAACACTTTAAGGAAGCAAGTAAATGTATGGTTTGCCTGAATTATCTTGAAAACCCCATGTACCTGAAATGTGGATATGTCTGCTGCTTCCGGTGCCTCGATTCACTGCGGAAGGAGGTTGATGGGGGTGGTTTATTGTGCCCCAACTGCTCTGTGGTCTCACAGAAGAATGACCTCAGACGCGCTCTCAAGCTCGGAGCTCTGGTTTCAAAGGTTAAGGAATTAGAGCCCCAGCTGAGAGCTGTTCTCCAGATGAACCCAAGGATGCGGAAGTTCCAAGGTAAGACATCTATACAAACTGTCAACCCATAAAGGGCCCTGGAAAAAGCACCTTTTCAAAAGCTCTCCACTAAATAAGGGCACTAGCTGAATTCTGGCACCTGAAATTTCTATTCTTTCCAAGAAACCGTTGTTCTCACCTGTAAGTATAGATAAGAACTATCTGTTGACTTTATAAAAATTTGTATTGGAGTATAGTTGCTTTACAATGTTGTGTTAGTTTCAGGTGTACAGCAAAGTGAATCAGTTATACATATACATATATCCACTCTTTTTTAGATTCTTTTCTCATGTAGGTCGTTAGAGTATTGAGTAGAGTTCCCTGTGCTATACAGTAGGTCCTTATTAGTTATCTGTTTTATATATAGTAGTGTGTATGTGTCAATCCCAATCTCCCAATTTATCTCTCCCCCGCTTCCCCCTATCTGTAGATTTTTTTTTTACATCTTTATTGGAGTATAATTGCTTTACAATGGTGTGTTAGTTTCTGCTTTATAACAAAGTGAATCAGTTACATATATACATATGTTCCCATATCTCTTCTCTCTTGCGTCTCCCTCCCTCCCACCCTCCCTATCCCACCCCTCTAGGTGGTCACAAAGCACCGAGCTGATCTCCCTGTGCTATGTGGCTGCTTCCCACTAGCTATCTATTTTACGTTTGGTAGTGTATATATGTCCATGCCACTCTCTCACTTTGTCACAGCTTACCCTTCCCCCTCCCCATATCCTCAAGTCCATTCTCTAGTAGGTCTGTGTCTTTATTCCTGTCTTACCCCTAGGTTCTTCATGACATTTTTTTTTCTTAGATTCCATATATATGTGTTAGCATACGGTATTTGTCTTTCTCTTTCTGACTTACTTCACTCTGTATGACAGACTCTAGGTCCATCCACCTCACTACAAATAACTCAATTTCGTTTCTTTTTATGGTTGAGTAATATTCCATTGTATATATGTGCCACATCTCTATCCATTCGTCTGTCGATGGACACTTAGGTTGCTTCCATGTCCTGGCTATTGTAAATAGAGCTGCAATGAACATTTTGGTACATGACTCTTTTTGAATTATGGTTTTCTCAGGGTATATGCCCAGTAGTGGGATTGCTGGGTCATATGGTAGTTCTGTTTGTAGCTTTTTAAGGAATCTCCATACTGTTCTCCATAGTGGCTGTACCAATTCACATTCCCACCAGCAGTGCAAGAGTGTTCTACCTGTAGATTTTTAGGAAAAGATAATATTCAGGCCATGCCCTAGTCCTGTGCTATCCAATATTAGACACACAGGAATATTTCCAGTGGCCACTGGCAGCTCCTGATCCCTTGAAACGTGGTGATTGCCACAAGCAGAAATCAGATTTGGATATATTGGAGGATACGGAATGTATTATTAAAATCAATTATACCTGATTGTTATTTTTAAACATGTGAGAAAATTTAAAATCCACACTGGGCTCTCATTGCGTTTCTTTGGGTGGCACTGCAACACAACACGGTTTTTCAGATTTGAGGATGTATGAGTTCCCTGACCATCCAGTTTAAATGTACCTTCCTCTTCTTGAACGCTGGGCTGACCTGAGAATCTGGATTTCTGACTTGAGCTCCGGTGGTGCTGCTAGAGCAGGTTCATGGCCCACGCTTTGAGTAACAGGCCCCTGCATCTAGTGAATCTGAACTCTTCAGGTAGCGAGGCCCAGAGATATGCGCTGTTTAAAAGCCCCAGGTGGGCCTTCCCTGGTGGCGCAGTGGTTGAGAGTCCGCCTGCCGATGCAGGGGACACGGGTTCGTGCCCCGGTCCGGGAAGATCCCACATGCCGCGGAGCGGCTGTGCCCGTGAGCCATGGCCGCTGAGCCTGCGCGTCCGGAGCCTGTTGCTCCGCAACGGGAGAGGCCACAACTGTGAGAGGCCCGCGTACCGCACACACACACACACAAAAAAGCCCCAGGTGATTCTATGCACAGTGAGTGTGGACAAGGAATACTTAGAGAACAAGCCCCCCAGGGAAAAGGATATTAAAATTGCATGCGGTCGTGACTGTAGGTTTCAATCCTGTTGCCGAGTCTGGACCAGAGCACTGCAGCCTGTGCTTCACTCCCTGACCTGGACCTAAGATGCCCAATTCAGGCTCAGAATTCTGAGCAAAGGGGAATTATCACAGCTTAGCTGCGTGTCTAATTCGGGATGCTAGGACAGACCTCCCAGGCTCATTGGAGAGTGCCACAGTCTCATCCTGTCGCCCATTCCCTGCCTCCTACGATGGGTCCTTGGGTGTGAACGGGGTGTGATGATTGTGCGATGATACACAATCCAGCCAGCAGTGTCATCGGGAAAGTAACCACTTGTTTTACTTCTTGAGTGAGTTTCCGTTTTGCTCCGTGCAACCCTGTATTTATGATGGTGAAACCTGTCACAGAAACTTGACAAGCCTTCACAATTTCTCTCCAATGGTCAGGAAGTCTGAGCACCTCCCAAAGAACCATGTTATAAGGGAGCCAAGTGAAGTCATTGGCCTTTGGTCCAGAGGGTTTATTTCTGGGGCTCCTGGGGCTCTATGCACATGGTCACATTAGGACAGGCAGGTCTATGCACCCATCCTCATCACAGGGTTAGTTGGAGATGTTGCCAAAACACATAGTACTTCTCCAGTGTACCTGGCCCGTGAGCACTGCCCCATCCAGTTCTGGGTCTAAGTTGCTACAGGATCCCAGCACATCCTTACCCGTGTCTATGGGAATCCCTTCCTCTATCTTGACTTCCAGCGTTAACCCATCTCATCCAAAGACTCCTAGCAGGTTTTCTTTGTATTTTTCTATAGCTCCAGAGAATGAAAAAGAACTGGAATGCAGTTGCCTATTTGACAACTCTAAACAAAGAAAGTAGATGCAAAAAGAAAAAAAATAATAATTACCTTACCATTTCAAAATTATTCTGCAATATGTAAAATCACCATCATTCAAATGTATATTTGATGTCTGTATTTTGACAGTCTGTGTCAACTGGAAATTTTTGAGAAAAATCAACACCCATGGACTCTTTTTTTCATGTATATCATGTACTGAAGAGAAGAAATAATATTTTAATCAAATAATCCAATTAGTGTAAAGAAAACACCAGTATGAATCAGAAAGACTAGTTCCATTTTCATCATTCATTCTATACATGGAATTGGATCTAATCCAGGTCAGGGAATCTTCCCCAGGAACCTTCTGCTTAGGAAAGAAGTGTAGAGTTAAAGAAGTGAACGTGAGTGAAACATTTGGGACTTTTCAGAAGCCGTGGATTGTAGTGTCTAGTGTATGTAATTGCTTATTTTTCTTTCCACAGTGGATGTGACCTTGGATGTTGACACAGCCAACAAGTACCTCGTCGTTTCTGAGGACCTGAAAACTGTCCGTTGTGGGTTTTTCAAGCAGAAGAAGAGGTCCCGACCTGAGAGATTCAGCCGTACAACTTGTGTCCTGGGATTCCCTCTGTTCACCTCTGGCCGCCATTACTGGGAGGTGGACTTGGGGTCCAGCCAAGAATGGGACCTGGGCGTTTGCAAAGAATCTGTGCGTCGACGAGGGAAGACTCAACTGGCTCCAGATCTTGGCTTCTGGACTGTGAGTTTGAGAAATGGAGATGTCTTCTCTGCCCACACTGTGCCTTCCGCTGTTCTCAAGGTGGGCCCCAGGTTACATCGAGTGGGGATTTTCCTGGATATGAATATCGGAATTGTTTCCTTTTATCACATTGGTGACGGATCCCATATTTTTACGTTCACTAAAGTTTCTGCTGGGGAGCCACTGCGTCCATTTTTTTCTCCTGCATATCCGACCGAGGATGATCAAAGCTTCCTGAGAATCTGTCCTTTGATAAGTCTAGGCACTGACGGTCCTCTGTGGAATCCAGGGCAAAGCAAGTGAAACTCTGACTATGGAAACATGGATAGGAAATTCTTGTGTACACATAGCTGTGGATGGAAATGTTCCTCTGCTACACATATGGTACAGACGTGCAGCAGAAAGTTATGGAACAATTCACGAATCATTAACACAAATTGTATTAGGGAAAATGACATTTCCAGAATTAGTGTTATGGACTTGTTTATTTCTGTTCCAATTATTATGTTCTTTCAGATCAATTTCCAAATGTTTTCTTTTAATTTCCTGTAAGCTTAACTTAGTGCATGATGGAGATTATAAACTAAATAAATTATAATAATTATAAACTAAATAAAGTTCATTTGTGACTCTACAGATGCATTTTTCTACATATTATGGAAATAAGACATGTTTCAACAGTAAAAAAAAAAAAAAGTGTGCACGTATTCAGTTTCACTCAACAACTGAGAAACACACGTTCATTTCAAGTGCACCTTGAACTCTACGGGCCGTATTCCATTTCTGTTGGACGTTACCGGTCATGCTCCAAACCCTTCTACCCCCAGCTGGACCCATCTGGCTATGGCAGGAGGCCTTGCAGAACCTGAGAAGTTGATTTAGTCAACGGGAGACATTCACCGTCTTATGCAACATGTGAAGCTGTGACGATAAAGAAAATGAAACCCTGTCATTCCTCCAGCTTTTGTGTAAAAATCAAAGTCAGTTTACTTCTCTCAGGACAGAGTATTCAGTCCATTGCCCCTAAATGCACACACACTGCCTGGCGCAGAGATGGCCTCAGACAACACTTGCTGAATTCATAAACGTCTCCATTCTGCAGACCTTGTCTCTCAAATACGCCTTTTGGAGAAATCTGAGACGTGAAGAAGAAATTCCATCAGGGTGGACTCACCTCAAGTCCACTAGACTCTCCTGTGGCCTCCACCTGCTTCCACTGATCGCGCAGCTCTGGAGTGAGATTCCCCTGCAGGGGCTTTTATTGGAGACGGTTCCCATTTCCTCCTTATTCACATTCCACCTCCCCTCCTTTAATCCAGTCAAATTTTGATTTATTTCTGGAATACGTGACATTTTATTGAAGATAGGGAGGTGACCACAATCAAAGGAAAACACTTTATCCTGAGAGTCATTTTATTTCTGTTAATAGTGCTGAAATCACTTTCTAGGTCTTAGATGGAGCTGCTCCTACTTAGCGGTACCAGGTCAGCAAACTGAATCTAATGTAATTCTTGTCTCCCTGTAAGTGCTCCGCTGGATCATACACAGAACGTATCCAGTCAGCCAATCTCTAATAGCCAAGCCACCTCTGGATGCTGTAATAATTTCCTTGCTTCTTTTCGCCCAAACAACCTTTTGTATGTGGCCCCAGCCAATCAAATATTTTCCATTTTTTACTTCCTTGTTTTTTATTCTTTATTCTATGAAAGCCTCCTGCTCCTTCTGCCCTATTTTGCAATTCTTCGAATAGGGACTGTTTCAAAAATGTTAAAGCTTATAACCTAAAATACTTCCTTTAATCATTTTTAACCATATAGATGAAATATCGTTTTACTCTCATTCTGAGGTAGATCTGGACTATTATGACTGTTGATGACATTTGGACAAGGAAGGAAATGTTGACACCTGCTACAAAATGGGTGAACCTTGAACATGTTATGCTAAGTGAAATGGAGCCCATCTAAAAGGAAAAATACACTATGATTCCACTTATAAGACACTTAAGGAGTCCAATTTATAAAGACAAAGAGTGATGGTTGCCATTTTAATGCTCCTTTGGCCCCAGATTTGAGCAGTGTAAGATCAATAAAGCTGAAACAGCCCTCCAAAAATGTTGTAGGCTCATCTTGTACTGGTCCTGATGCAGTCCTGTCATCAGTTACCACAGACAACATAAAGATGGGTGTGACTGGGTTCCAATAAAGCCCTCCAATAATTGTTCCAATAAAAGGCATCACCTTCCCATGGAAACACGTGGGCATGAGGAATACACAGTAATTCGAAGTGGGAAAGCTGACTTCAAAATGGGGTATTTTCCAGATTCAAAAAAGACCTAAGGCCCTAAATAGGAAGAACCACGGAATGTAAACTCATTGGAACCAGACTCCTGGCCAAGATGGCCCTCAGTATTGTGAGGAGATGAAAAGCTCTGAAGAACACACCCAACTGAAAATATAGTAAAAGGCACTGATGCACCCGAGTGTCCCTTTAATGCCCGAGGACAGCTTTGGCTCTGAACCATTGATTTTCCTCAGGGAACGCAGAAAACTTTTTTCACCTGCTGTCTGGCTGCTCATTAGGATCTTCTTTAACTGATTAATCAGCTGAGGATGATGATGATGATTAGCGCTGGGGCTAAAACTGGCTCCTCAGGGGAGACGCCCCCCACGCTCCATGCAGGCAGTGTGGCCGAGACAGCAGATGATGGGATGGTGGCGTCTCTGTGGGGAGAGCAGGTCTGCGGACCGTGTCCCTGTAAGTGCAGACTCAAGAGCCTCTGACCCATCCTGATCGACGCTTCCCGGCACAGAGCTTTGCAGCAGAGACCAGGCAGGTGAGTGCTTCCTTATGTTCAGTCTCAGGGAGGAAACAAACGGGAGAGAGGAAGTCTCCAACACGAGAGGACCTTGAAGCTGTGCTTGTGCACTAACATTGGGCAGGACGTATGCTGACCTTGCCTCACTCTGAGCAAACAAACCCATAATCTGGTTGGATGGAGCTGTGATCTAGGGAGCATAGGCTGGGGTTTCTAGTGGGGTCCTATGAGGATTCACTGGACGTGAACTTCAAGTCAGGACTTTTGCTAAGAAAAGTTTTAAAATGAGATTCATTGGGGCTACAGTAAAACCTAGCATCCTGGAGTGCCAGAGAATTTGCTGGTAATTATAATTCAGAGGAGAGCTCAGAATAAATAAACTTCTGTATTTCCTCCCTCAGTTGTTGGAGATGCTGTGGAATAGGGGTAGGTGAGGCTCCCAGGAAGATCCCTGTGTCCAGACACTGTGGGCTGAGTATCTATTAGTCAATAAGGAGAATAGGACTTGTCTTTACCTAGCTCTCAGCGTATTAGGAAGACAGGAAAAAGGAGTATAAAATCGACAACAAAAGTATGAGTTTTGTTTTGAGACTAAAAGAGTGCCTTGGTCACAGTGATTGAGGATGGCCATCAGGTGCCTATGAGCAGGTGAAATCAGCTGGGCTGGCGCCGGAGGAGGAGTGAGGCAATTGAAGTGATGAGAGAGGGGAATTCCAGGAAGGGAGGAGAATGTGAATTGCTGTGATGAAAGTAAAACGTGATCCTTGCTTTTTTAAGGGAAATAAATTCAGCTGGACTTAGTGAGAAAAAGGAGGAGAGGACCATATAGGTGTGAAATGCAATTAGTTTCCTGACCCTGAATGTTATCATCCCTCACATTCCTGCCAGTGGTAAGTAATGAAATGAATGTTTTCTCTTCGGAAAACCAACTCTTGGTTTCGTTGATCTTTTCTATTGTTCCTCTGGTTTCTGTTTCACTTATTTCTGCTCTGGTCTTTGTTATTTACTTCCTTCTGCTAACTTTGGGCTTAGTTTGTTCTTTTTAGTTTTGTGATGTATAAAGTTTGAGCGCTTTTCTTTTGAAGAAAATGTTACTTTTATTTTTAAATTTTAGGAAAATTCGTCTCATTATCAGTAATTAGAAATTACTTATTTCAGTCATTAGAGACAATGCATGTAATATAACGTTATACTGCTACCCACAGAACTTTAATCTTATTTAGAAAAGTTAGCATTACTGTGACTTTTTTCTTCCTGGAATCCTTTTCAGAAAACTGATTAATTCCCTCGAAGGATGTTTTGTATTATACTGACTAATTCGTGTTATGCTGAAAAACTACATTTCAAGAAAATGTTCGTAGTTGAAAATAATCCCAGCTATTACTGTACTGCTCAGTTGTATCCGGTATATTCTTGTTATGCTGTAGGTCTCCAGAACTTTTCCGTCTTTACAAAGCTGATCTCTATACCCTTTAAAAAACAAGTTGTTCTTTTTCTCTCTCCCCAGCCACTGGTATCCACCATTTTACATTGATGTTCTATATATACCTGACGACCTTAGGTACCACATGTGTGTGGAATTCTAAAGCATTTGTGTGTGTGATGGGCTTATATCACTGGCATATTGTCTTCAAGTTTCAACCATGTCGTTTCATGTGACAGGAGTTCCCTTTAAAGGCTGAATAATATTTCACTGAGGGTTTACACCATATTTTATTTACCCATTCATCTGAAGATCAACATTTGGGTTGTTTCTGCCTCTTCACTATTGGAAATAGTGCTGCTGTGAACGTGCGTTTGCAAATGTCTCTTCAAGTATTTGCTTTCTATTATTTTGGATATGTACCTGGTATTTGGATGACTTGGTCGTATGGTAGTTCTAGTTTCGATTTTTTGAGGATCTGCCGTATGTTTCCTGTAGTGGTTGCTGCATTTTATAAACTTAGCAACAGTGCACAAGTGTTTGAATTTCTCCTCATCCTCAAAAACGGTTGTTATTTTCTGGGTTTTTTCAAGAGTAATTATATTAATTTGGGTAAGATGATATCTTATTTTGGTTCCCTTTTGCATTTCCCTAAAGATTTAGTAATCTTAAGCACCTTCTCATATTCTGGTTGGCCATTTGTGTATCATCTTTAGAGAAGTGTCTATTTAAAGTCGTTTGCTCATTTGTTAATCAGATTATTTGTTTTTAGTTAAGTTGCAGGAGTTCTTTACATATTTTAGATATTAACACATTATCAGATATATGACAAGTTATATTTCCCTCTGTTGATTGTATCCTTTGATTCATAGCAGTTTTGAGTTTGATGTAGTCTCATTTGTCTATTTTTGCTTTTGCTGCCTGTGCTTTTCATGTCATATCCAAGAAATCGATTTTAAATCCAACATCAAGAATTTTCCAGCTATTATTTTCTTATAGGGGTTTGATAGTTTGGCACTGTGTGTTTAGACTTTTAATATATTTTGAATTAATTTTGCATATGGTGTAAGTGTCCAGCTTCTTCATTATGTATGTGGATATCCAACTGGCCCAGCATTATTTGTTGAAGAGACTCTGTTTCACCACTGAGAGATATGGGCACCCTAGTCGAAAATCATTTGGTCGTATAAATGCAGTGGGGTATCTCTGGGGTCCCTAGTCTTCTCCATTGGCCTGTATATCTGTCTTGCTCTCAGTACCACATTGTTTTCATTAATAATTTTTTGCGGTAAGTTTTGAAATTAGGAATTGTAAGACCACAAACTTCGTTCTTTTGTAAGATTGCTTTGAACATTCAAGGGTCCCTTGAAATTCCTTATGAATTTTAAGGTAGATTTTTCTATTTCTGAACAAAAAAATGTTGGGATTTTAATAGGATTTGCACAGAATCTGTAAATAGCTTTAGACAGTATTGAC